TGAAACTCAAAGGACAAATCCTTGTGTCGATATTTAATTTCAATTAGTATAAAGGAGGAAAATAAGAACAGCATTGATAAAATTCATCCTTAGGCCCAACTCCACTATCGTAGCAGTAACTACATAACGACAAATTATCACCGAATACAGACTACGAAATCAATTCAGTCTACATTAGCTTGAAACATCACCTACGTGACTTGCATAACTATCGAAGCCTGTGCGCTCATTTCAAGGAGAAGTAATTTCTTCCGATCACACAATTTCTTTTACATAAGGTAGTATTTTACTGAGACAGATCAGTCTCTCAGATGTCATTTTGAAGTATTGGTGTGAGTCGGCGAGCGAAGTGCGTGGCATATATAATATTATGTAAGGTGTGCGCATGAGCAGTGAACCTTCCTGCGTAGAATTCCGAGAAATTATTTCACAGGGGGTTATTTTTAAATTTTTTATATTTAGCATTAACACAGGAGTAACAGGCGGGTTTTTCGAGTTCAAAATATTCGTTGACACCGTTAAACGAAAATGAAACTTGCTCGCATCAGTCGATCTCCTAGAGGATATTCTCACAATGCCATTTCTTGCAAGTGAGATGATGTAATTTAGAACTTTTATTTTCACCCAACGAGTAAGAATTTGGAAATAAATATTTCGGTTGTTGTGTTTGAGAAGAACCCCTCTAACTCAACTTTATACTCGGCAAATTTTTCCCAGATTTATTTCTCGTTAAAAAGAGAGATGAATCATTTGTTTCCAATGGGAACACATTCCCATAAGTACTCGCGTTGGTTTTCTCAGTAAACTTGGTGACGTCATTTCATTTAGCATTTCTTTTGTTTCATTTCTTAATTATTTTTTACCACGGGTTGCTCTTTTAAGAAAAGCTGAGTAAGCAAATTGAATTGGGGATGGGAAAACCTGGGGAGAAGTTAAATGACATTACAAGTTCTCCACAATCCAACACGAGTAGCTATAGTCGTGCATGATCACTTCAACAGCTTTCCAGGAAAACCACCAAACGACCGTTTGCTTATGTAAGAGGTGTTTTCTCAGAAAAAAGCTAATATAATCACAGTTAAAGTGTTAATTTGAGCTCCAGCTCCAGTTTGACTCGTGCTGAAAGTATTTCATTTATTTAAAACGCTAGGACTTTCTATCCTTTGATTTTATCAGATGATTTTTTTATCATGTGGAAGCTAATTTCCCTATGACTAGAAATGTACGGTTTTACGGATACAAACTGGCAATTTTTTCAAACCACGTCTTGTAGATAATTAAACTACAAACGCACGCATCTTTCCTTTTTATCCGACCTGTGATTTCTTCCTACTACATTCCTACCGCTTATTTCTTCGAAGGGGAAGCTTGTTTAAGTTTCCTCTCCAGAACATTGCAGTTTTATTGAAGATTAATGCAAGTGCTCATGCTAAACTAACCGTTTCCATGTTACCCTGATGGTTTTCTGTTTCAACCGGCAGGATTATGTTTACTCGCTTATTTCCCCAAAGAGAAAGCTCTTTTGAGTTTACTCCCCAGAAGATTACAGTTTCATCAAAGATAAACACAAGGGCATACACAAAGGTTCTCATGTGTTATCGGCAGTGTTGTGTATCAGCCCAAACCCGTATAAGCTGAATATCTCTAATATTACAATAATAGCAACATCATCATGTGGTAAGGTTAAGTTCAAAATTGCTTGGGTTTGATTTATGTCCCTTAGATTTACTTCGATTGTGCCAGTTGCTTCCACATTTCTATCAGTTCATTGACAATTGGCAACTAGTGCCAGTCTTCCAGCTTTCCTGCCTCATTCATGATTCTCACCGAGGTATCCACGAGGACTTCATCAATCACGGGATGAGCCGTCACATTTCGACCATCTTGGATAGACTTCATAGCTCTTATGTGTCGCCTTTTACATTTGAGCTTTTGTTTTAACTCATTCCATATCTTCTTCGCTTCTTTTCTTTGCTGCTCGTCTTCCAGATCATCGATATCTTGCTCAATGTGTTTCATCTTGTAACTCTTCTTGGAGTCATAAGAGTTTGGAAACACATGTTGGTACATCATTCCTTGAATTTGCCAGCATAACTCACCCAGGACCAAGGACCTACTAGTCAATGGATCGGCGGAGGTTGGCTGGATGAATGGTAAAGCCACTCGCTCGGCAACCTTTAGCACCTTGTTTGCCATTTCCAGACTCTCTCATCGACTTCCTTCTTCCATGCTTTCTTCAAGATCTTCAGTCATGACGTGCACTTTTTTTGACAGTTTCTCAACAGTTAACTCCAGTGTTGTATTTTTCTCTTCAAGATTCGAGTTTTTTCTTATACTTTCGTCGAGATCTTTGGTGACTTCATCCACTCTTGTCGACAATTTGGCAACATCCGTCTTGATTGTTGTACTTTTATCTTTCATCTCGGCGACCTCGCTTTTTCACGGCATCCAGTTTGACTTGAACAGCTTTAAAATTCGTTTCTAATGTCTTCTTCTCACTCTCCAGTTTCTGAATCTTCTCCTTCAGAGTTTTGATTTCTTTATGCTTCTACTTCACAGTCATCTGTAGGTTATCGTTTTGCTCTCTTGGATCTCGCAAATCTTTGTTCAGCTTCAGTATTGCTTCAACCTTTTTATAATAATAATAATTAATAATAATAATTAATAGACTTATATTGCGCAATTATCAATATAAGAATTTTCAATTGCACATTACAATTAAATGGTAAAAATTCAACCCCTACATAGATACTAAAAGTTAAAAATTAATAAATAAATAAATAAAAAAATAAATAAAGTTTAAAAAAATAAATAAAGTTTAAAAAAATAAATTAATTAATTAAAATGATCACTAAGAAAATGTAAAAATATGAAATTAGATACAAAGAATTAAAAAAGCTTTGGCAAATAAAAAAGTCTTAATGGCCTTCTTAAACTTGTTTAAAGATTGAGTGTTTCTGATAGAGCCCGGAAGATAGTTCCACAATTTAGGGGCGGCGGCATGGAAAGATCGACCGCCGAGCATGGTGAGTGTTTTACCCCTGCAAAGAGCAAGGAGTAAGCCGTCATTGGAACGGAAATCATATCTTCCGGTGTCTCTAACAGAAATCAGCTCACTTATGTAGGCCGGGGCAAGACCACCTATTGCTTTAAAAGTAATTGTTATAATTTTAAAAACTATGCGATATTTTACAGGCAGCCAGTGTAATGATTTGAGCAGAGGTGTGATATGACAAAATCTGCTCTCCTGGAATATAACGCGTGCAGCTGCATTCTGGATTCTCTGTAATTTGTGAAAACGGCGCTCAGGAACTCCAAATAGGAGGCTGCTACAATAGTTCAAGCGGCTAGATATAAAGGCATGAATAAGTGTCGCCGTGCATTCTTTTGTTAAATATTTTCTAATTCTTCTAATTTTACAAAGATAGTAAAACGCTGCAGAGCAAGTCTTGGTGATATGATCAACCATAGATAGGTTTGAGTCAAACCAGACTCCAAGGTTTTTGACAGGAGAGTGCTGAGCTATATTTACTTTGCCAACTTTAATGTGTCCAATATCAACTTTGGCGAGCTGCTGCTTCATGCTAATTAAAAGAAACTCAGTTTTTTCCTCGTTCAACAATAGTTTATTCTCACGCATCCAACACCTGTTCGCCTTAATACAACCCTCAATAGCAGTAATGGCATCCAAGTGACCTGTCTCATCTGCGGGGCGGAAAGAGACGTAAAGTTGGGTATCGTCTGCATAGCAGTGGACAGATAGAAGATATTTTTCGACGACGTCTAGTAACGAGCTCGTATAGATGGTAAACAAGAGCGGTCCTAAACAGGAGCCTTGGGGTACTCCGCAGTTGAAATCAAACTTCTTCGACAGACACCCACGAACTAATATACTCTGACTGCGCCCTGATAAATACGATCGGAACCACTTGGACACCCTGCCCCCAAGTCCCAGCGTATTGAGTGCTTCTAGTAAGATATTATGCTCGACTGTATCTGTATCGAAAGCAGCATTAAGATCGAGTAGCACTAGAAGGGTTACATGTTGTTTATTCATATTGAGCAGGATGTCATTCTTCACTTTCAGAAGAGCAGTTTCAGTGCTATGATGCACCCTGTAAGCTGATTGAGCGTTCGGGTATAGATTCGTGTCGACCATGTGTTCGTGTATCTGATGGAAGTCTGCTTTCTCAGTGAGCTTCGATAAGAAAGCTAAATTGCTTACCGGTCTGAAATTATTGAATATGATATCAAGACCAGGCTTTTTGAGTAACGGACATAATACTGCCTCCTTCCAGGACTTAGGAAAATGTCCGGCTTCTAATGATTTGTTAATGATCGTAGTAATGATGGGAAGAAGAGCATCACATCTGCTGACCAAGCGAGAGGGCATTGGGTCAAGTGGGCAAGACATTAATGTTGAGTTATGGATAAGCCACTTAACACTGTTGGCAGACAGGATTTTGAATGCAGATAACGATGGAGTGGACCGAGTAAAGCTATCAGCAGGGGTGGATGCGGAGGCAGGTAAATCTGTAATATCAGCATCGATTTTTCTCTGGATTGTATCAATCTTTGACACAAAATACTTTCCAACGTCGTTTGCAAAAGTGGGGGCGTGCAGATTCGGAAGTAACTCATCGCCCTGCGACTGATTAAACACGAAACAACTTTCGCTGATTACAGCTGTTATCCTCGATAAGTTTAGTGTAAAACGCCTGTCGTGCCGTGTTCATAAGATTTTTGACAGCATTGCGCTTTACTTTGAAGACAGCCAAATCGGAATCAAGTTTCGACAATCTCCGTCTTCTTTCAGCTTTCCGTCGCTCTCTCTTGGCTTGTCTGACTTCGTCTGGTACCATGGAACTTGCGGACGCATAACAATCGTTCGAGTCTTAACAGGGGCATGTTTGTCCAGCACAGCTATTAGGGTTTTGTTATAGGACAAAAGAAGTTCCTCGAGGTCCGGTGGATTTTTACACAGCTCAGAATTAGCTAGGTCATCATTCAGGGAATCCACGTTCACTAATTTTATTTTCCTCTACGAGAGAGTCCTGGTGGAGACAGATGGCTTTATTGAATGAAGATGACACAACACTGGTGCATGATCAGAGAAATAGCCGTCGAATCGAGGTGTGGATCTTACAATCTGGTCGAACTGGCGGGTGATGATTAGGTCCAGGGTGTGAACATGAATATGGGTTGGACCCACCACATGCTGTTGTAAGCAGAAAGATTCCAGCAGATCTCAAAATTTGGAGTCACTATTGCTAGTACATCTACATGGATATTAAAGTCACCGACGATCACCAGCTGTTCTTTACAGTGAGTAACCGTTTCTAGATAGGCACTAAAATCGTTGAAAGACGTGATTATGGGGATCCTGTGATTATCATAGTCAGACTGAGGTCGATAGACTATAACCAAACGAAGATCGTTGGAAGAAGCCAGCTGGACGGTCCACTCTGAATGACATTTTAGCACCACCACCCACTTTCTTGACCGTGAGCGAGTCCCTGAACAATAGAGCTGTACCACCGCCTTGACGACAATCACGTACATGATCTAATAGCTTATATCCATCCGGAAAAAGTTCTGCTCGGATTGCGTCATCACAACAACGTAACCAAGTCTCTGTAACAGCGACTAGGTCAGCTTTGCACTCGCAATATAATAGAAAAAGGCTGCTGACTTGTTTCTGACGGAACGCAAGTTAAGTAGACAGAGAGACAATGGCGTACTAGAGGACTTGAAATGAAAGGTACACGCTTGATTGATATTCGTGTTGGTGATTGGTGTTGGTTTAGACACGAAAGGGTGGAGTATCTTCTCTCAGAAATGCGCACGGGAATATTTGAGTTGACAGGTGGAGTGGAACCGACTGATCGCTGGTTTTTAGAGACATGAGCAGGGTCAAATTTCTTCAGACCATTTCCCTAGCCAGGATTTACTTCGATATCACCGACAGAAGCAAAATCCTACGTGAAGCCGTTACATTGGGGTAGTAAGCAATTCGGCATTTTGAAAATTTGCACTTCTCACTCGGTGATATACTATTGGTGTTTCAGGCGGATGATAATCACCAGTTATTGATGTAGGAAGTGCGAACAAAGGCCAATCAACGCAAACGTTGACACAATGGAATACAGCAGTCTGCTCTTGGAAAGCTTTCGCTAGCCACCATCGGCGAAGGAGAAATGTAATCATTTTGACTCAAAAGTTGGATATTTCCATTCTCTGACATCGCTTCACTGAACTCTTTATCGTTACCCATCCTTGTGTCCCTTTTCCAGTTTAAAACAATTCCCCAGTCCTGATTAAAATGACTAAGAACAGAGATCGTAAAAGAACGTGCCTTCGCTTCATAACTAATTAGAAATTTTTTCAAAATTCAATTTCTTTCTTTAGGGAGTCGATCTGTCTCAAAATTTTGGGATCGTGAGTCGGCCCTCCTCCTACAATGTTCAAATGTAAAGCAGAATTTGCCACTATTTCTCTTCTTCCCTCCATTCTTCTCGACTTAATCTCAATAACTTCGTTTAAACCAACAATGATGGTGGCTATGTAGCGACAGAACAGGAATATCAGCGCCAAACAGGGAGACTCAATCATTATGACGCCATAGTTTTCATACGGTGTAGGTGTACCAGTCTCACTGATTCATCTAGTTACTTCTAACTTTCTCTTCAGCTCATTGTAACAGTTCGCTTTTTTTCTCAAAGAAGACATTATAGGTCTACCCAGTAACAGCTGCGCCATCAACTGTATGATACTTAGTTCAGTTAGGTACGTTTAAATTGAATGAACTTCGGTGAACTTTGAAAATGCTTCATCAAGGATGTGCTTATCTCCTATAAATCTCCTATAAATATGCGTTGCGTGGATATGAAGCTGCTTTCAATTCCTTGAAATTGGTGTCGCGCTGTTTTACATTTTCATGCAATGCAAGCTGAAACAACGGCATGAATATATTTTCGGAGAACGGCGAGCATAACCATCAGTACCAATACAAGGTGAAAGAAGTCTTTTTCTCCTTTTTTGAGGAAAAAGCAAGAAATAATAAAAAAAAATAAAAATAAAGAAAGAAATTCTAAAAATCTGAAGGATGACAACAATCAGGCAGGTTTCAAAATATAATTTGCTTGACTAAGCTCTTTGCTTTGTGCATCGTCATCATGGGATACCATTGCCGGACAAATTTTAACCGTTCCTGGTGTTTAGTGTGTTACCTAACAGGTGATATTTTCAAATCTTTTCGTGCCATCCAGATTTGTGGGAAATGAGTACACCAACATCCAATGTCTTGGAAGTATAGAAAAAAGTAATTTCCTTGTTATGCTGTAAAACTAAAACAAATCAAAACAAATGAAACATTCGTTTTGTTGTAATAGGCGAAAACAAATAAAAGAATAATCTGAAACTGTTTTAGAAAAGATACCTAAACACAGGCAATAAATTCGTACTCATGCGCATGAGATCTGTTGCGAAACCTTTAAGAATTTAATAGTAAGCATTCGTAATTAAGCGAGTCAAAGCAAAGTTTGAGTAGCACTAGCTTTTTAGATACGAGAGCGAACAGAGAAGTTAATGCTGTCATTCTGACGCAACCACATCCATCAGTCTGCTGTGGCCAAAAAAATCATTTAGAGAATAAAATTATATTTCCAGGTGTTTATGCCATTTTTACGCCATGCGTGCTCGACTGAACACAACCCTGACGTGCTACGTTTTTTCAAACGAACTCTGGAGCATTAAGTTGAACAACTGGAAAGAGGGCGCTTAATTTGGGCGCTTATTCGAGGAAATAGAATATATTGAGAGGTTGCATTGAAACTAATTCCAAAAAATGGGAAAGCTTTAGAGAGCCAAGTGCCCTTTTGTCGACTTACGTAAGTAATTCCAGTCTCGTTATGTATTAAACAGCTGAGTAGGAGGAACATCATTCGTGATGGTTGGACTGCTTTGATTATTGGTGATAATTGTAACAGTCATCACGTCGGCCCCGCAGGTTGGAGGTAATCGATCCAAACCAGTTCGGTGGGATACCAAAGTCATCCACCCTACACGTACTTGCTTCCATGCTGAATAACTGGACCCAAGCTACGGATGGATCTGGCGCTGCTGTGAGAGTGGTCCTATTCGATTACAGGAAGGCCTTTGATCTTATTGATCAAGGTCTCTAACCTAGTTATCCCCCGGGGCATGGCCCTGTGGTTGGTAGATTTCTTGAAGCAAAGGTATCAGCGCGTAAAGGTGTCTTCGGACTGCTGCTCAGAATGGGAGCCTGTCCCTGCTGTTGTGCAGCAGGGCATAAAACTGGGCCCCTGGCTTTTCATCTTAATGATAAATGACCTGAGAGTTAGTGATGTACATGGGTGGAAGTATGTGGACGATACCACCATAGCCGAAATCGTGCGTAAGGGAGGCCGAAGTAACATCCAGAATTCCGTCGACGGCGTCCAGGACTGGTCTTATGAGCGGAATATGTAGCTCAACGCGGACAAATGCAAGGAATTGACTGTCTAGGAAAAACAACCAATCGTTCGATCCTGTATAAGTAGATGGAAAGGAACTCTCTTAGGTGCAACGTGCAAAGACATTAGGAGTTACAATGTCTGAAGATCTGAAATTGAACGAGCAAGTATATGAGTCGATAAGAAAAGCAAATAAGCGCTTCCGTTTCTTAGTGCTCCTTAAGAGGGCTAATGTTAGCCATCAAGACATCATACAATTCTATTGTATAGTTATAAGGTCAGTATTGGAATACTGTACACCTATTTTCCGCCATAGCCTTCCTGAATATCTTGGTGAAGACCTTAAGCGTGTCCAGAAAAGAGCCATGTCAATAATCGCGCCTTGTCAATCATATACATAACCCTTAGATAGCTATGGACTCAGTACTCTAGGCCAAAGACGCGATTATCCCTGCTCTAAGCTATTCAGTGGCATAACCAATTCCAACGATCACAGTCTCGCCTAACTACTCCTCCCACGTCTCCAAGGCTCATATAGCCTCAGAAGCAAAAGAAATTTCAAGGAAACTGATTTCCTGATGGTGTTCGTGTTATTTTTTAATGCTATATCCGTTTTGTTCTTTGAGTGGATGTGATCGATTTGTACATCATACTACGATTTAAAGATCTTGAAGTAAAATGTTCTGTTCGAAAACTGAATGCTCTCTAAAGATATAATTGCTTAGCTGAGCACATCCCTTAGCCCCTGCGTTTTTTTAGGGTGCCATTGCCGGACCAGTCAGAACAAATCTTGGGTATAGTAGTTCCAATAACAGGAAATTGTGGGAAACGTCAAATTTCTGAGAAACGGGTGCTTTGAATCCTTTATTCAGGAACAGAGAAAACCATGACTGTGTTGTTTGTGCCATCCACGTATCATTTTGCGATTATAAACTACAATATACATAAAGAAAATGTCACAGTGGAAGAGACATAAAAAAAACCGACTAAATCAATACACTTTAAGCGCATAAGAGATCAAAAGCGAAACCATATAGATTCCTAGAATCTAACGAATGGCTTTCTTTAACAACAATTTCAAAACAGCGTCTGAGCAATAACAATTTTTAGACGCCATAACAAATTAAAAAATTGACAGAAAAGTGAATTCAATTTCGAATCAATACATCTCCATTTAAGTTTCTTATTCAGTTCAGCACGAGTAGCTGAAGTCGCGCATGATCACTTCAACAGCTTTCCAGGAAAACTACTCAACGACCGTCTGTTTATTTAAGAAGTATATTTCTAAGAAAAAAGCAAACATAATCAGTTATTGTGTTTATTTTAGCTCCAGCATAAGGGGTGGGGGATTTTTTTCTGAACGAGAAGAAACTACGTGACTTTGTCGAAGGATTTCATGTTTATATGTCAAAGACAAAGACTCAACGCAGAGATTGTTCGGTTCGTAAGCGAATGAAAAAGAACGTTAAGAGGAACATATATATTAACCCAGTTGTGTGTTGTTCTTGTTGTTTTTTACTCCATGTTATGTCGTGACAAGAAGTGTTTTTGTGTCTTACCCTAGCATCACGTCAACATGGGGTCAGTCAGACTTGTAAATTGATTATTACACAATTAAGAATGAAGTCGATGTGATGGAAAGCGTTGTGTCCATTTCCGTTTTCGGAAACAGGATCCGAAAGCAAACAACTGAGAGAGGTTATACCATTTAGTTTCTGCATTCACTTGCGTACATCATTACCATAGTCTAATAATTTTAACGTAATGAGCGGCTCAAAGATATTATCTAGCCATCAGTTGATGATTGTCTGCTTTTTCATAGCATTTTCATATGAAAATATACAGTTTGCTGACACTAGGGTTTACTAACTATTGTTTCTCATGACCGTTTCAAAATGAGCCTAATTATACTTGACTCCGATCAAAGGTGTGTTGTCTTAAAGTATAGGAGGCCATACACAAAAATGACGTGTTAATCAGCAAAAGGAGCTGCATGAGGATTGCACGGATGGATTCTTTCTAAGGCATCCCACGTTTGAAGAGCAAACAAAACTCAAAATGGCTTTTATTCCACTTCAATTTGGATTGTTTTTTAACACCTCTACCTCAACTATCTAATCAGTGTTTGACAGGAAAAGAATTCAGATTGATTACAATTCAGACTTTTTCCCGATTTTCTCTGCCTCCTTTATCTTCTCCGAGGTACTGAAAGAGATAGAAAGTAAACGATATTCCTTTGTCATCCAAGGTAAACCAGAAATAGCGAGAATACATGTATGTGGAGGCTTCCTATGTAGTTTGTATCACACATTGTGAAAACGTTTTTTCAAGCATCACATAGAGACATATACATATAGTAAAAGCTATGGGCATTTAAAAAAGAAAAAAAAAAGAAAAGAAAAGAAAAAAATATAGTATTGGTTAAATTGCATACCGGCAGCAGCATTTGTTTGTAGAAAATGGACAGTACATTTTGTCTCGGCAGTCAATCGGTATGTCCGGTGGACACGGATCATCAATATAAGTACACACGCCCTTCGGCCAGTCGCATCTCGGAACATCTGTGAATTCGAAGGATTTGTCCGTAAACATTAAATTGTTCAAAAGCGACTTAACGTAACCATAAGTATTTATTCTTGTCTAGTTAGCTACTCTTGGAATAAAGGTACAACTCATCTTCTCCAGAGCTCCCATAACGGTGTAGGTGTAAAATTTTTGTAAGACAACATCACAAAAATTAGATTTATCTTAAAGCAAATCCCATTAATGGTTCATATACTTTAAGTTAAAATAAACATATCCAGATCTTTTGAAAAGGTGATGGCTAGAAGGAAGTTTTATTCGGATAAAATCAAGAGAGGACCTTATTCTCCCTTGAATAAAATGTAATATGAGATTAAGAAGAAAGGGGTGGAGATGGGTTGATGGCTTACTCGAAGAATGGAGTCGGTATCTCACGATTACATCTGACGATATCTACGTCTTTCATACGTAAATGGGAAACTAGTGGCAACAATGCTTGAAAATAAAAACGTTTTGGTACTTTAGTGACATGTATTATTCACACCGAGATTGCCAAGAAATTATGGAGTTTATGATTAGCCACAGCTGACTTGAAGGTGTCTCACTTGCATTCCATAGATTCATGACGTTCGCGAACGTGTCAAGACACAGCTTTCTCAGAATCTCAAAATATTTAAATAGATTTGCTAAGGGTTGTCTGTGACTTACGTGGCTTTGGTTGCGGATACCGGCAGCAGCATTTGTTTGTTCCTAATGGACAGTACATCTGGTCTCGGCAGTCATATGGTATGTCCGGTGGACACGGATCATTAACATATGTGCACACTCCTCTTGGCCAGTCGCATCGCGGAAGGTCTGTGAATTTGAGTGAATCTTGTTTTGGAAAATTCACGATATGAAAATCTTATCTTAGACCAAAATTATCAAGAAATTAAATATGCTTTTAAGAAACGACTTAGGCGCAATTTGGTTTTCAGCGCTCGCATTCTAAGAGTTATTTCGATTCTTGCATACAAAGCGACTTGTATACAGGAATGTAGTGACCATTTTAAAGAAAACAAATCTCCACGTTCTCAAATGAATTTTCAAGTTATGTTTTAAAATCAGCTGTCGCTTACTTGGATCATCAGAACCATCCACAGAGATCGCCAAACCGATCAGCGTAAAAATCAACAGCTTTGCACCCATCACAAAAGCGAAACAGAGAGTGCAACGAGAGTGGAAATCTATAAAAAAGGAAAAATATATAAAGTGAAGCCCAGTTACTCTATCACTCTTGATAAATACGCTCCAAACATACCGATATTCTTGGCAGAAATATTGCAGCGCCGTGAACTCAAGGATAAACAGCGCAAGAAGCTGAATGTATCTCTTCCCGAGATGCGAAGAAATGGCAACTGATATGCAAGCTTTGTAGTTTTACTGCTACTCTCAGTCGAGGCAGGTCTCTGCATGTTTCAATCTCGTGATCATACATGTCTGATAACTGATTCTCGATACCCTGGTTAAGATAGGATAGAATTGCCAGTCTAAAATTAGTTGCCAAAAATTTGATATTTAGCAAGTCGTTCCTCGAGAAAATTGTTTTTGGCAGGCTCACCTGACAGTTTCACTGAGCGTCATTAAGAAAAGCTTGTTCTCTGAAATGATTTCTTTTCTTCGTTTCTCGTATCTCAAAATATTCATTGATCTTATCTTACTAACCATTTTCAAGCTAACAGTGTACACAAAATATCTTTAATTTCTTAGAAACCCTTTGAACTTTACCTGACCCGTTGTGTAATCTTTCCAAACAAGGATGGAAAAGACCTTTGCTTTAATGTTCTTTTTTTTCAACAAAAAAAATGTGTCAATCATCCATTAAGTACAGGGGCTTAATTCGAGGTGATTTGACTGAACCATTTCGGAAAGGTTTGGCTTATAGTGTCTATCAGCAGCGTTTCTTTCATGACTTCAAGGGTTTGATTCGACTGTTATTTTGCCATATCCTTGCCTACCTCGAAGTTCGGAAGTAAAAGTTTTTTTTTTTCGCATCCAGTCCTCTCGTGTGCATGATTTATCTTCTTTTAGAAAGTCAATGATAATGCCCCATGTGTTGACACTTCGAGCACCGTGATCTCAAAGTGGCTGTTTAACTTGCAACTGAGGGGAAGAGATCATCTTTAAACGTGTTTTCATGCGGACGAAAGAGGCACTGAGTGGCAGACTGGATTACCTTCAGATGAACTGCATACTCAACGAGTCTTGAGATTTCTAAGAAGTATATTCGCGTAACCTGACCCGTTGTGTAATCTGTGCACCGTAAAGTTGGCAGCATCCTGAATTTTACCTACGTTTGTATCATCAGAAGACGTATTTCAATCACACATCCAGCACCGCAGCCAGGTTTCCCATTGTAACTGTGATAAGCGCCTTATTTGATTACGACAAAGTTTTTCAAAGTTAGTGACATAATAATTCCCAGAATAAAGCTTTCAGAAACTGTTTTAATAGTTGTCTACCTTTAATTTGCCTCTTCTTTGCAACAAAAAAGAGATAATATCTCTATTCTCATCTCAGTTAATGCCTTTCCAAAGCCTCATTACTGAAACAAATTTTTAATAACACATCATGCTTTTGCAAGTAGGTGACCGTGACTTTTGGAAGCTTTGGGAGCAGTCTCAGAAAGTGAGACCGAAGACAACTCAAGATTAACTTCAGTTCTTTCAGTCTCCCCTTACCTTCAACACGCAAATTTCTCTTTAAAGTTTATCTAAACATCGATGAACAAAAATTAATAAAATCTATTTTATGTACAAACCCAACACTATTTTCAGTCGTTTCGAAGATAGACGACGAAATGCACAACTCAATTCAAACTTGGATTTTCTACAGAAAGCTCAAGTAATAAAATTCTAGACCCGTTATTTTGATGATTACATGTCTTACTGTTAACATATATATTTTTATGGAGCCTTTGCACATTTAGTGTTATTTACGGACAAAATACCATGCAGAAACGTTACAACGCGGGAGTTTATGTGCATCGGAGTGTAACCTAACTGAGGATCAGCGGACTACGGAACCTCCGGAACCTGCGGAACCCTTAAGTTCTTTCTTTTTTACTAGTGAATTGCGCACATGGGCAAGAGCGAGTAGTAGATATGATGTGGCGAATGGCACTCGCTCGCTGGCTCGCTCGATTGGTCGATTCCTGTAAACTTTTTTTCGATTTTAGGCTTTTGAGTGCATTTGATAGTTTTTGGTGAGTAACGAAGAAACGAAATGGCGACCTTTGTTGCTAAGAATAGTGGTGGCGTGAAAAAGAAGCCAATGATAATTTTAAAAGAGTTAATTTTTTTCGTTTTAGTTTCAATAAGCCGCGCCAGCTACTGGCAGGCGTGCGAGGATTCACACTGAAATAAGAGAACAACCTTCGTTTTTCATAAAATTGTAGTTTACAATCCTTGAACTTGAAAACAATCCGATGATTCATTAAAAATATCACTTACTCCGAAGCGCTCCGAGGTTACTGGTGTTCAAAAGCTTTTTCTGTTATGGCGTGAGATTGGGGACAAAATCGATCATTACATTTCGTATCGTGTGTTTTTTCTGTGTGAAGCAACAAAAGGTGCCGGCGACTGACGAAATTACAAGTTAACACGAAAATCAAATAACTCCAAAACAAATAATTTTGGCTACAGATTTTCAGTGAATTTTTAAAGAACATTTTTTTTTAAGTTTCAAGACAATTTGAAGATTCAAAATAAATATTACGTACTAAAATTCGAAAGTTATACACCACAAAATTTATAAATAGGCCTGAAATGAAAATCTTACTTGTTCTTGATTATACGTTGTCTAGCACGTGACCAAAATCTACCCAGGCGGAAATCCAAAATGACGGTGGCAGGACCTAGTTATATCACTCAAAACTCGTTCCCGTTTGTCTCATTTGATAAAGAGGGAATCATTAATGTTTCCATTAAGACAGTATTGCCTTAATTTTCCAATATTTACAATGATAGACAGTTAATTTCACTTTTCACCCTCATTTACTTCCAACCTTTTCTTTTGAACCAAAAACAAAAGTGATATATGTTTAAAACACATGACATCATCCACCTTTGTCAAATGTCATAGCATAATCATTTCAATTGCAATGCCTTCTTATCCCAACGTTACTTTGTTTCTTTGCTACATTAGCGAACACTGAACTACTGCTCGTACTCTAAACATGACAATCAACCACAAAATTCCCTAAACCAGATAACATTAAACATGATCCAAAAAATCATGCGAGTCATCTATCAATTTACGAGTTTGCTCACAGAGCACTTTGATTATAAAAAAGTAGTAATAAAATAAAATAAGGAAGATTACGTTAACAGACATATCTTTTTAACGTCCTTGACATCCAACTAGAAGTATTTGACATTAATTGTAGTGGTATTCACCGTACAAAGTAATCTAAAAAACCTGCGTGAGAGAAACTCGAACCATCTTTGATAGCTCTGACGGTTTGGTTACCGTGATATTCGAATAACGCCTCAGCATAACAATATGATCTTCAAAATCGCCGCCATTTATCTCAAAACAGATAACGGTTATCAACACGCTAAGGGTTATCAACACGACTTTCATTATCTGTGTTTTTAAATCTTCGCCCAGGATGTAGTAATATTTTCTACTCATTACTTGCTTTCGCATTAATGGCTACGAAAAATTTCGATAAATTTTATGACCACTGCCTTCTATGAGGCGAAGCCATGGTGTTGTCTTGTTGAGTGAATTAATAATTATTTTAAATATACCACAAAGATACAAAAAAGTTGCTTTCAAAATACCAAAAAAAAGGTAGGAAATTGAACTCTTGACTCGCGCTTTTGTTTCATCGGCTGCTCAAAGATGAAAAGTACTTGCTATTCACCTTCGAACTAGCTAATCAATTTCAGTTCTATAACTATAAATAGGTTAAGCGATACTACAGGGCAAAATATTCCTTTACATGTTAAATGCACTCTACTTCTCTACTTTTAGCAAGATTATCATCTTTACTCTCTCATTAAAACGTTGCATACCTTTCTTAGGATTTCCCCTTCCAGTTTAAACACGTTTACTTCTGGGAAACTTTGTTTTGATAAATAAAGCCAACTTTTCTAGACTAGTGAGCTTTTCATTCCGATTCCTTGAGTATTACATTTTCTCTTATTGACAGCTTATGCCACATAACAATGAACTGAGGGTCACCTGAGGTACCTCTCCAGCAGCTATCGCAAAGGACATTTCAGCAAAGGAACTTATCGATTTCCTGTTTACTTGGATCAATAGTAATGCTTGTAAGGTTTAAGTCTCCTTCGTTTTGAAAAGAACCGAAACAAGTGTTCCTTACAGAAGTGTCACTTCGATAGGACCAAGTGAAATTGAGCCCGGTATGTATTCCAGGGCCAACGTTTGCGTCGTAACTTAATGAGGCATTCACAGTGACGTTTTGCTTGGACCCCAACCGTTCACTGCTTTCTCCACCGATAATGTAATGGCTCGCACGGGAGCTGCAATAACCTCGATGAAGCCATAATCAAAGGCATTGAGAACTTTGAGGGGTGCTAGATCTCCGACTTCATATGTAGCATTGAATTTGACTTGATAGACGCAGCAGGTATGGATCGTTTGTTTTTCGTCCACTCCGTTGTCCCTTGACCAACTTTAGTTCTTATGCTGACTCAGAGGCAGCTAGCTTCATTTCACGGTTAAATCTTTATTTAGACCCTGTATCAGGGCTTTTTGGACACTTTTGGCTAAACGCTGCCGAGGTGTGGCCTAATACTTGTCTTTTCAAATGTTTCTGATGGTCACTAAGAAATCTCCTGAGTATAATATAGTTAGTTTTTTTGCGTCATTCTTCCCCCTCAAAAAAAAAAACAAATGTTGATAATATGGGTTTAATTCCTGATGAATTGACCTGTTTTACATCAACGTTAACACTATGAAATAGCCCTATGCTTGACATTTCTACGATCTGTGACGAATGCCCGTTTAGATAAAACTGTGCCTTTTACGTTATTCCTCGTGTCCGAGCGGTTCTAAGACAATAAACGGATGGTAGAAAAGACTTATCAGCTGAATATTCTTTTACTAAACTTTGACTTAATTCTCACCAACGTACTCACAAGATATTCTATGACCAATGTAGTTTTTTCGGCACTCACAGAGATCCCGAATTGTTAAAACAGTGAGCAACGCCATGACAGTTATGAGCTGATATTGCACATTCGTCGTCATTCTATAGAATCATAGGAACGAGCGTGTATCTCGAAGAGTTGAATTGTTTCAGGTTGCAGCAGTAAGGCTCTTTATCAGAGCTTGAAGCGTTATTTACCCCCAGTTATTTTTCTTGTTTAAGACACCAGTGGTTATCTGCATCATGTGGAAAGACAATCTGCTAGATTACCCAAAATACGAGACCCACAGTCGT